AATTTCTTTTAATCTCAGGTTGGGCTCATCATAGGGACAAAGTTAAGATTAGAAACTTTTCCCAGCCCAAGTCAGATAAAATTGGGGGTCCTTTAAATGTAATATTTATGGGGGAGAACACAACTAGACGATTCAATGATTTAAAGAATTAAATGAAACTCAGGTTTTGATTATCCTTGAATTAAACCTGTGATTTGATTTCTTTGCCACACGGTGGCACCATCACATAGATTTACATATTTGGATTATGTATCTAATGCCTTTTCAGATCACATATCCTCTGAAACTTCTAAAATGTGTCATTTAGATTCTAGAATGTAGGAGGAGGCAGCTCATGCTTTGGAATGTAAAATTCTTAAAAATTATAATGCAGTTCCTGCATATTTCGGCCAAATTCTCATCTGTCTTCTCACCCCCACAGAGCTCCTTTTGAAGTCATTGGAGCTCCCCGTGGTGAGCATTTCGTGGGGGTGCAGAGCAAGGTGAGAGTTTGGGACCACTAGAGTTAAATAAGCATTTTAAAGACAATTGCCTTATCAATATAAGTATTTCTTAAGTTCGTTATGAAATCGGACACTAGAGGGCAGTATTTATCCTTTTTTCCCATTTTTATTTTCAACCTATTTCTTGAAATCTCTTAAACATTGTATGTATTTTTGAAAATGGTTTTAAGGTGTGTGATGACACAGCCATGCTTGGGAACTATCTGTATATTTTTGCAGTGAGAGGAGGTTTTTATCCAATCTCTATGTAGTTGAGGACTTAATAGTCTGATCTAAGGTAGAGAAAATTCCTAAAAGACAAAAATATGTTAAGCAGTTGAGAAGGAGATTGTTACCATGGTGGACTTGGCAAGTGCAGATGACGTGCTGCACATCCAGTGTGCTGGTGAGTGTTGAAGGCTTCCGCAGAGGAACTCTGATGCATAGTAGAACTTACCACCTGGTTGTGGAAATAGACTTGTTTACTTCGCTTATCCAGAATTAGATACAGCAATTCGAACTGAACAGCAGTAAATATTTCTATTAGTTTGGGCCACGCCAGTTTCTGTTTGTGAATCATATTTTAGCATCTGTTATTGAAATTCAGGAATTCATAAGAAAAGGGAACGTAAAATTTTGGTATTAGTTGTATTTGGTACTAGGCTAAATTTTGAACTAACATCTAAACTGTTTAAGTAAATAAAATCTATAAATGAATTATTAGTGTATGACCATTGGGCCAGGAAGTTGATCCCATCAAACTGAATATTTGAGGGGGGAGGAACCACACAAAAATTACAATTGAAGATTTAGCATAAAATTTGAACAGTTATAGAAGATATCACACAATAGCTGATTTTCAAAATAGATTTTTCACTTGAAACCCACTTCCTAGCTTTTTAAAAATTTTTAATTCACTAATTAATTTTATTTTTTTTTTACGCCTATAGCACCTGGTCTTCCTATGTGGTCTCCCATCCAAGTACTAACCAGGCCCGACCCTGCTTAGCTTCCGAGATCAGACGGGATCGGGCGTGTTCAGGGTAGCATGGCCATAGATCCCTAGCTTTTTTAGAATTAAGAGTATTACTTCTGGCATTTCAAAGGTGTGCTAACCTAGATGCACAAGAACAGTGCACAGGGCTTAAAACTTCTCACTAAAGTTAGGGGCCTGGGCATGACTACCCACGTGACCTGCCCACTTAGGAATTCCTGGTCAGATCACCCTGTGAGGTGACTTTCCTTAGAACACCCCGCCCCGCTTTGTGTGCACATAAGTATAGACATGGCCTGGCTTCGTTATCAGCAGTCCTTGATACTCCAGTAGGTAAATATTGGAGGTAAAACTTTTTTGAGGCAGTAAGGTCTGTAGTTGGTTGATAAGTTGGTCAGTTTATAGGCTTAATACCTGTTTAGTCAAAGTTGTTTTCCCCTTATCCTTTTTCCCTAACTATGTGGTGACTCCAGCTGCCTTTTTCTGTCAGTCACGAAGGAACTCAGAATTTGGAGGAGAGTCCAAATAATTACACGGTGGGGTGGAAACACTCAGAGGCCACCAGCCACCGCAGGGCCAGGGGGCTGTTGTTGGACTTCCTTAATACCCATTACGTTTGGTTTGGCCCTCGCCATTCGAATTCACAGTCCTTTCCTTTTAAACATGAAGCAAGTTAGTGTCAGTAACGCCTAGAAATTACAGACATTGTTTTAACTCTAGACAAAAATCTGTAAATGTTCCTCAATTTAAATAGTGATCTTTTACCTTGTTTTGCCTGGAATGGTCCTGATTTATACTTGTCATTCTGACACTAATCATTCCCCCTTAAATCTCAGAAGTAGTTTGGTTAAATTGTGTGGTCACTCTACTTTTAAGGCATATTCTATATTTCTTTCACTGATTAATTTTGCCTCACTTAAATGAATTTTTTCTGCTAAATTAAGAGCTAGCTAGAGTTCATAGCACATTTCTAGAAAATGAAGTCATAGCTAAACACGTTTGGTTATTCTTCTGTAGCCTATAGACTGTCATTTGCAAAACGCTTTATCATAATGGTGTTTGATTTGTGTCATATTTAGTTGCTACTTTTTATGGCACACCATCCTTGATGCTGTTTTTGAGAGATCTGGTAGTTGTAAAAGGCACCGAAAACACTGTGTTTTTTAGGTACTAAGTTTTTCTACTCCTCTGCCTTCTCTTCTGTGCTTCTCATAGTATCTGTAAAACACATTCACTTTTGTCTTTTGATCTAATGCTATTTGAATTCAAAGATTGGGTTCTCTTATTTTTAATCTAAGCATATATAACAGAAGTCCTGTTTTAGCAAGAAGATTAACTTTTCTCAAGTATCCCACACATATTATAGGGATTTTTATGGGGCTAGTACTATTCTTCAGTCATTCAATACTGATAGCAGCAAATGAATCCCCAAGTTTTTAAAATGGGGAAAAATATGGTGAATATGATTTTCCTTCTTAATTCAGGTATCAGTATAATTAGGACAAAATAAAATCTCAGAGCTATCGTAAGTGTTCCTTAAGTATGGCCAGATAACAGTGGACACAAGGAAAGCCATTTGTGTTGTGTGTGCGTGTTGTGTGTATGTGTTCACATGGCTTTTTCTTCCCTCTCCTGACCATGGTGCCTTTATAGTCATTGTTTATTCAACAAAGATATATTTGAACTCAAATAGAAAAGTTAGAAGGTGAGGAAAACGATTTTTAATCGGCGTTTTCTGTACTACATTCCAGTCAGAAGGTCTGCCGTTGCTGACATTCACCATCAAATCGGCATTTGTGATTCAGCAGATTTTTGGAAGTCTTTGTTTAAACTCATATGGAAGACATACTATACTTTTCTTGTGTGAAATTAACTTTTAGGTTTTGTGTATAATAAATGAAGCAGATATTTTCTGTTAGTTTTCCTCAGGAAGAAAGTATGGCTTAGCTTCCGAGATCAGACGGGATCGGGCGTGTTCAGGGTAGCATGGCCATAGATCCCTAGCTTTTTTAGAATTAAAAATTATTGGGGTACACTGATTTACAAAATCAAATAAATTTCAAGTGTATAATTCAACAGAAAGTCATATACGTCTTGCGCTGTGTGTTCACTGCCCAGAGTTAGATTTCCTTCTGTCACCACTTATTTGGCCCCTTTTACCCTACCAGCCTCCTCCCCCTTCCCTCTGGTAACCACTAATCCACTGTCTGTGTCCATGAGTCTCAGTTTATTTATTATGTTTGTTTGTTCAGTTTTATATCCCACATATGAGCGATATCATGTACTTTTCAACTTCTGTCTCACTTACTTTGCTTAGCATGATTATCTCAAGATCCATCCATGCCACTCACTGCCTAGCTTCTTGTTTAAAAATAGTTTAACGACATGGAGATATAACGTCCTGGCCTTTCAAAATCTAGAACACATCCTGGTTTTCTAGCAGTTAATATTTTGGTTACACCGGAAGTTGTTTATATGTTTCTTGTTTGTTTCATCAGGTTATTCTCGGACATTATAATTGGCTCTCCTATGAAGATGTCTTCATTAGAGCTTTTAATTTTGGAAATGGCTTACAGGTGTTGGGTCAGAAACCAAAGACCAACATTGCCATCTTCTGTGAAACCAGGGCCGAATGGATGATCGCTGCACAGGCATGCTTTATGTATAATTTTCAGCGTAAGTAGGCTTTTTTATCTTCTGGAGGAGGAGACCTTTGTTATTGTGGGGGAGATGATACTCGCTTTTATTATAAATACTTCATTCTTAAGAGATGAAAATTCTGATGTTAATTTTCATCTTGCATCCAGTCGGTGGAGAACTTAGACCTATTGGTCTGCTTTGAACAGGGAACCCGTTGTGGACCACATGGGACAGTCCGTGTAGTGTGGTGAGGGGACCTGATCCTGTTAATAGAGGACCTTCGCGGTCTCAGGAACTGTGCCTCCTCCTAAGGGCCGTTGCTCTGCTATCCTGTCTCAGGAATTCCCCTTTGAATTAGCGTCCTTTTGTTACGCCAGTTCTATCAGTATAGCCACTGAACTCTAAAACCTTCCAGCACTGGACCTGGGCGCCACGTTAAATGACAGAATTGCTGTGTTATTAGCTGTTTGAGTGGCGGTCCTCACAACCCCGTCTGTGCGGTAGTCCAGGCCTCGGTGCCAAAACATGATGTTAGGTGGGGACAATGCCTTATTCTTCACATGAAACAGAAAAGCTGTTTTGATCAGATTTCTTGTTGTAAATGCCTCCACAGGTTTTGTTTGTAGGGTTGGTTGGTTGCTTGCTTTGTTTGAACTGGGATACCTTTTTGTTTTCACAGGTGTAAGTTTACAAAATGTTTCTTTTGAGAAGCTTTAAAATAATAGTCATCTCTGAAAGTCACTTAAGTCTAATGTTTTTGAGTTAGACAGAAAGCAAGTAAAAATCCACATTATTGTTATTTAATTTCAACATTTCTAAGAATGTTTTTCTTTAGATTTTTCTACTTTAGAATAAGCAATACTGATGCTTGTTCATGCTCTTTTCTTAATGTGTAATACTGAAATCTGACCTTCAGCGTGTTACCTACTGGTATATTTTCTTTTTCCTATTTTAGTACCAACTAAGACTTTGACATTTTAGAGGTCAGATATAATTCCTTCCAATATGAAAGTCCCAGAGTAACACCTGTAGGTAAAACAAAAGAAAATTAAAAAGTTTTTACTTTAAAGTAACAAATCTTGGGGGAAATTAGGGAAGTGTGAGTAGGCATAATGTTGATGAGTTTATTAAAGTAATTTAGAAAAATACAGCACAGTTAGACCATAAACTATGGCCCTAATGATCTAAGGTCAGTACGCTCCATTATGATTCACGTCTGCTTTCAGAGGCTTTGCTTATATTCACTGCTCCCGTGAAATGTTTGAATGTTTAACTTGCCCTTCTTTTCCTGTAGTCGTTACGTTATATGCGACTCTCGGAGGTCCAGCAATTGTTCATGGCTTAAATGAAACAGAGGTGACCAACATCATTACTAGTAAAGAACTCTTACAGACAAAGTTGAAGGTGAGGCCCGGAGTTATTATAACTGTCTGATACTTTAGAATTTCCAGTGTCATGAGCTGTATTATTGATACTTAGTTCTTTTATGATCTTTAAAATCCTTAATGTCTGTATAAACTTTTAGGAATATCATAATTTTATTACTTTCCTTTAGAAAAGAAAAAGTGGATTTCGTATGTAATTATGTGTAAGGAGTGCAGACAGTTAACAGACTGGTCATATGCCTATGTCTACGGTGTAATGATTATAACTTTTCTTTACTGTGCTCATCTATTTTCTACTCTGTTTTCAATAAATTTGTAATTTTGAAGGTTTATTTTTAAGCTAGTAATTCATTTATCTTACTGAAGCATTGAGTGGTTATGAGTTTTTAGAATTTTTTAAAGGAAAAAGGAGACTATGAAACTGTAGATAAAAGGGGTTTCTGCAGTCTCTAGACAACGCTCACCACTGGTTATCTAAGACGTTAGCTTCTTTTGGTCTGCGTAGCAGCTGTGGGCATTTGTCTGCAGAGTGGACAGTGGGAATCTCAGCCACGTGTTAAACAAGCTGGTCTTTCTTTTCTCCTCTTGGTTTCTTGTTCCCATCCATTGTCTTGCAGCAGTAACAGCATCTGCTATGACAGGACAGTGAAAAGGGGACCTTTCACAACTGGCACGTAGATGTAAGAGTGGGATTGCTTAGGCCTTGCGGCTTCTAAGCACAGTGCTTTCTAACAGTCTAGTGCAAACGTGTTTTTGACGAAGTATTTAATAGTTTCAGAATGATGTAGCAACATCGAAAACTTTCCTCCCTGTTTTGAGGGGCTGAGCTTTGGGGATTAACCCTAGAATGTATCTGACATGGCTGAAACAAAAGTGCACAAACCTTTATTATTTCCCATTAACGAACTCTGAAGCTTTGTTTCCATCCTACCCTAAAAGTCTGTTTTGAGCTCCCAACGGAAGAGAAGTGGAAGCGGAAAGGCACTGGTGAGGGTTGTCCTCTAATTATGCCCACCGTGGGGTGGCCGACAGGGTGGCGTCAACTTCACCAAGGCAGGTCTCTCTCCAGGGGTCACAAGTAGAAAAACAAAAGGCAGAGAAGCAGAGGGCGCAGTGTTCTTGAGTCTTGGCAAGCTTTTTCAGGACTCTTGGCCCATCATTTAAAGTCTCTTGTGGTTTTATAAAACCGTAGCAGAGTCAAGCACCTGGAATGTGTGTGTCAGTCAGCATCTCCTGATTGCCACCTTCCCAGCAGGAAACGCGTTGTTCCACTGTCTTTTGAAGTGAAGAACAATGAAATGATTGGTTTCCACAGCGTCTCTAAAATACGCGTACCCGAAATACGCGTACCCGAAATAGCACAAAGTTGCAAAGAATAAAATAATTTTACATTTCTGTTTCTGAAATGGAAAAGAGCACAAAGCTGATTTAAACATTGTGATCTAACTACTAGAAACATTTAAAAATTTTTTCTTCCGTTTTATACACATTAGAGAGAAGAAAATAGAAAGAATCTTGATGATAGTGCTTACAAAGAGATTTCACTATAACCTTCTAAAGGGATCCAGAAAGATCGTAGACATGCTCATTTCTGTTCCTGGGAGTTGACTTGGCTTCCTTTTCTTCTTGCTCAGTGCCTACTGTTGTGTTATTTTTTGCTGCAGTCACATTTGCATATGTGTATGATATTTATTTTCTGACTTATTAGGACATTGACATCATAATTGCTTTCTATAATGGCCGATCTCTTGGCCAGGATTTGTGATTTGGTTATTTTATTGCTCTTCCTGACAGAACTCTTGGTTTTTCCGTATGCATTCCTCTCCCGGGTCCCCATTTATTAAAGGCACTGCCACAAACCAAAATGCTCAAGGCGGAAAACTAGGAGTTTGATCTCTG